AATAAGCTACCAAGAGACGGAACCTCCCTGAGTGAACCTCCATTCACCTTTCGAAATAATGAGAATCGGGAATTCGACACCTTTTCGGGAATAATAAGACCATTTTTATAGTAACACAAATGTAGCACTAGTGCCCTTTCAAAATAAAAAAAAAATCAAATATTTAAAAATTAATCAAATAAAACTGTTAGTAAAATCGTCGCAATTTCTCTTTCGATTTTCTGGGATGAGTATTTATCATAATTTAAACTATTTACACTCGGACTATTTTCCTCATTTTTGTTGTTGTTATCACAACGTTTCAGCCGTTTTCCCCCCTCTGACCTTCATCAGGTGCATGCCAAGCCATGAAACCAACACTGAGATATCGAATTAGTGATATAGCTATTGTGATTCAATCCCTGGGTTGGACATTGTGTACTTGGACTCAGTGGAAACAGCAGTAATCACTAGATGAGATATCCCTAGATATGGTCATCGGAACAAGAACAGTCTCTTCCCTGTAGATTAAATAAACGGTTCAGTTCGAATTTACGAATGTTACCCGTATCTACAAGCATCTGATGAAGGCTTGAGGTTATGACAACCGAAAAGTTGGGATAACAACAACAAATCTGTAAATAAAAACCGCTTGTAAGTAATGTAAACAGAACATTAATAGTAATAAATCAAATTAAATATTCACTTATCTTGTGTCTACTATGAGTTTCGTGGAGATAACATTCACTAGTAAGAAGTTGTAATTTCAAGATTGTCGGGGTACTTCTAGTTAAATTTAATGGATTTGAATTTATTTTCAAAATAGTAATTGTGAGTTCAATCTCTGTGTTGGGCAATGTGTACGTCGAGATTTTTTTTTTTAGTGGTGTTAACTCTGTAAAAGGCCCTAGGGCCACTCAATGTAGAGGTTACAGAATAAGAGGTACAGCTTATGCGGATATGTACAGAAGATAACGCTTAGCCCTTTCTTTTTTCACAATGATGTTCATGGTGCCTAAGGACCAAGAGCCACTCGAGGTAGAGGTTTACAGAATAAGAGGCATGGTTAATGCGGATATGTAACAGTTAGTCCTAAACTTAAACATGTTAAGATTGTAGTGATAAGGGAAGCAGCATTTTGTGACTCAGTTCCGTAAGGCAGCGTTTTGTCGTAAGAAGCTGCTTGAGGGGAACCAAAGTAATACAAATGGAATGTTAGTAATTTGTTACAATGTGTGTGGCATGGCGGGTCCTAGCTGCGAAGGTCAGGACTAGGGCAACTAAGAAATATAGTTCATCTGATCTCCAAGACTCTCAGCCACCTGACACCTTCCAAACTGACTTTACAAAGAGGAACCGTGGCAAAATGTCTGGTTGGTGGTTCAACCAGTTTCAGAATTTTATCATTCAAGTTTGAACTTTGTCCTTTTCATTTATGAACTAACTAGCAGGGATACCTAGTGTTGCTCAGGAAAATAACTTCAAACACAGGGAAAAAAAAGTATCTTTTTATATCTTTTTTTTGTTAACACACGAAAAAAGTGAAAAAAGAAAACTTGTATTCTGTGTTGTCTCTGGGTCATCATGCTACCACTGAGTTAATTTATATATATATATATATATATATATATATATATATATATATATATATCTGTGTGTGTGATGTTCATTACTAATATGTTACTATTGCTTCCTTTCTTGATGTTTGTGATTTTTTTAATTTTTACAATGATGTTCACTCTATAGAGAGCCACTCGAGGTAGAGGGTTACAGAATAAGAGATACTGCTTATGTGAATATGTGCGGAAGATACCGGTTAATCCTAGACTTGGATTGTAGTGATCAGAGAAGCAGCCCCTTGGGAGTCGGTTCCACAAGGTACCGGTTTGTGGGAAGAAACTGTTTGAGTGGAACGTACACCCCACCGTGAGGAATATGAAAGGGAAAGGTAGTTTGATTAAGTCAACAGTAAATGGCGCAGCCACTCGAATGCGAGGATGCCAGTCTACTAGTGTTGCTAGCTAATCCCCATTGCAGACACATTTGTGTTTGTTCAGGCATATTTGCGTTTGTTCGACACCCACAAGCGCACTTGTGTTTTATACTGTAACTACGCTGAGCGGACCTTAGTTACAGTTTCTGGTAGAGATCGCGTTATCTATCGAACACGACTAGCACGCTTATTCCCTCGCACAACCACCGATGGTAGTAACTAGATGAGATACCCCTGGATATGATCATCAGGACGAGAAGTAATCTATCCCTGTAGATTAAATAAAGGGTTTCAGTTTAAAATGCCCCGAAGGTTACCCATCATTTTGGATGAAGAATATATATATATATATATATATATATATATATATATATATATATATATATATATATAATATTAGTGGAAAATATACATACATATGCAAAATATATAAATACCCATACATGTATATTTTCAGAAAAAAATTTCAAGAGGAAGAATCCAGGTAGAACTCAATGTCTAGGACAGAGTAAGGATATAATAAAAAGGCTTAAACACTAATATTCCATGGTCATAATTTATTCCATTGGAATCGTAAATACGATCCAATTCATCAGACCTACAAATTCAAAATGAATATATATATATATATATATATATATATATATATAGTTGGCCACTCGTATTCGAGGATACCCGTCTACTAGGGTAGCTAGGAAATCCCTATTGCAGACGCATGTGGGCAGACCTTAGTTACAGTTTCTGAGAAAGAGCATGTTATCTAGCGCGGTTAACAATTTGAAAAAATTCAGCCCGCTCAACCCCTCGGCCACGATAACCTCAGGCTAGCACAGCTATTGACGGCCCCAAGTTCACTCACAATCCTTCGGTCAACCCGTGGTATGTTTTCCTGGCACTTTCCAAAGGTCCCGCACACTGGGATCGTCCCCTCCAGACCGAAAAACATCAAAGAGTCACCTTTCTGACAAATCTACCATGGTGAGATTCGAACGCGGGTCTCATGGTCAGAATGCGAACGGTCTAACCACTCGACCACGGAAGAAAAATAAATACATAAATGCATTATCTTCGGGGTGCCATTTCAAAATCGTTTGCGGCCTGCAGTTCAACCATTACGCCAACCCATTCGACATCCATTTTATCTGACAGTTTTTTCAGACCCACACAGCGCATCAATTATACTGCCATCGTAATCACTGGATATATGTTGAGTCTCAGCACATCTTGTGGCTGAAATTCTCTAGTCGGCAAAACCAACCGCTGATATGTTGCAGTCTACGACCTGAAACGAATTGAAAATCAATCTAAAGGCTCCTGCATATTGACGCTATGCAATATAAAAGCACTTTTTAGCTTATAGCGAATGATTGAATTTATGACACCGTCCGTTCCCCCTATCGAGGTCCATACTGGATTTTGTTTATGGGCCTTGTGGAAGGATTAAAAGAAAATGATAATATATACGAAAAAAATGTTCACATAACCAGGCATGTTTGAATTCCTCTCATCAAAGTCTTGCGAAACAAACGTAAACAAAGCAATTTTCTAAATTAGTCGATTTTTTTATTTAATAAACCGACAGATTTTATCACTTTAAACGTTATTTTTAGTGGATACTCTTATTTAAGTAGACGCTCCACTTTTTTTTTTATTGAACAGTATATTTATTTATTTTTGTCTACCGGCCCGGAAAAACAATATTCACATAAAATAGCGTTTGAAGTGTTAAAATCTGTCGGATTAATAAATAAAAAAATTCAATACTTCTTTAAAAAATAACACTCTACACACACACACACACACACACACACACTATATCTCTCTCTCACACACGCACACACGCCCATATATATATATATATATATATATATATTTTATAAAAAGTTTCACACACCGAGGAATCAGACACAGATCTGGGTTTTGTTAACAATATGTTTTCCACCAGAAAATACACCGACTACAAAAACTGTGAGTAATTCCCATTTCTCTGTTTATTTCTCGGTCCGTTGATGAAGGACACAGGCGTGTCCGAAAATTCCGAACTTAAAACCTTTCAACTCGTGCTTCATTTCTGTCACATGTTTAATAATTCATGTTTAATAAATGTTTATCAAACTGATTATATATATCAAATATTATTTGACAATCACTTCTGACAAATCCTGGGGGTGTGGCAGGGAACTAAATCTTGATGCCACACCTATGTTCTTCCAGCAGCAACTCACTCCAACCAAGAACGAAAGAAAGAAAGAAAGAAAGACAGAAAGACAGAAAACGAGAAACATAGAAAAACATAGAAAAACAAAGAAAGAAAGAAAGAACTTAGGCAGGATGTAAATAAATAAGAAAAAAAAAAGATATGAGAGACGAAGAGGAAATGTAGTTAAGATAGAAAAAGCATTTTCTTACAAAAACGATTATTTATTTTTTTCTCTTTATTTTTATTTTTTTTTTCAGAATTTGGTGAAATTGTCTCAAACCTTAATGATATAAAGCGCGGACCTCTTATGACCACTGAACCCGAAAACACTTACACCATTAAAAACGAAATAACCAGTACTTACCTGGAGTGTAAAGCGGATGGAAATCCTTTAGTTAGTTATTCTTGGTACCGAGGAGCGAAACAGATCACAAGTGCCACGGACGCCAGATACACAATCACAAATGGCAAATTGACTTTTACTAATCCTCAAGAATCTGAAGACGCTGGTACTTACCAGTGCCATGCAACAAACGAATATGGCACCATTCTTAGTTCGCCAGCACAACTTTCGTTTGCCAGTAAGTATTTCATTTGTATATCGAAGCTAACCATATTTAACAGTTTATAAGACGCGCTGTTATATTAGACGTATCACCTATTAAGCATAGCATCAAGAAAAATATTTTCTTTTTAATGTATTTAAGCATATTATTATTATTATTATTATTATTATTATTACTATTATTATTATTATTATTATTATTATTTACTTTGATTTCTGGTGTGTAAACATTTCGTTCCTGGTCCCGCCCAGAGACCTAAGGTTAGAAATGGCATCATGATATTTTCCACTGACAAAAAAAAAAGAAGGAAACAAGACTAAAAAAAAAAAAATTACATAGATAAAGCCTTTCGTAAGGTGTAAGCTGTACTCGTGAGAACAATTTTTTGTATTTCTTTAAGGTATGGGCTTCCAGGGATCCCTTCAATCAGTTTACTGGAATCTTTTCCAACCAATCAGAAGGCTCCAACTACAACAGGGATTGTTGATGTTCCCATGTGCCACATTTTTGAGATTTTGATTTCAAGTCTTGTATTTTGATAGCATTTTGAAGATCTTCAAAGATACATTGCAGTCTGCAGGGACTGCCATATCAATAAGGAAGCACTTTTTTGTTTGTGGTCTTTAATAACAATGTCTGGGCAGTTGGTTTTGATTGTTCTGTCCATGTGTATTGTGTAGTCACATAAAATTGTTACAGGTCCTATGCCCGTAACCGGGTCTGGGTGGTGTTCATACCAATTTATTTCAGTTTCCTTCCCGTACAAGTTGCAGATTTTCCAGTGCAGATATTGGCCCACTCTGTCATGCCGGGTTTTATATTCAGTGGGTGCCAATACCGTGCAACCTGATGCAAAATGATCAATTGTTTCTGGGTAATTATCACAGAACCTGCATTTTGGGCTAACACAATATTTTAGTATGTGTGCTTGATCATTTCTAGCAAACAAGCCTTGGTCCTGTGTAGCAAGGATAAAACCTTCCGTTTCAGCTTTTAGCTTTTTTAACTATTATTATTATTATTTCCTTTGATTTTTGGTGTCTACTCTACTCCCGACCAGAGACCTAAGGTTAGAAATGGCATCATGACATTTTCTACGGAGCAATTGGAAAAGAATTTTTTTAAAAAAAAGTACACATATTTTACATAGATAAAGCCTTTCGTAAGGTGTTGGCTGTATTCGTGAGAATGATTTATTTGTATTTCGTTAAGGCATGGACTGTTATGGACTTCTTCACTGAGTCTATTGGTACCTTTTCCAATCAATCCGAGTGCTCCAACTACAACAGGGATTGTTGATGTTTTCATGTGCCACAATTCTTGAAATTTCAGTTTCCTTCCCGTACAATAAAAACGCATAAACGTATTTTACTATAAAAATGTATTTTTATACTCGCATAGTGTTTTGTTTTTGCTTGGGGGTATACTATTTGCCTATAGATGGAAGCGTAACAGGTGCTCCTCTCCCGGGTTAGGGTAGATCTGGGAAGAAGAACAATTAAGATATGGCTCCACACATCACAAAATCTTCAATTTTCTGATGAGAGACCTTTCTGCTGGATGCAGTTTATCGTCATACTCAGGATTATTTCTTGTGAAGAAAAAGTAAAAAACACGTCATCCTCTACAAGTTACCGTGAACGATTTTGAACTCTGTCAAGGTTGGAAAGTGAGGATTGTGCAGCTCCAGCACAGATATGGAAACAATACTCCATTTTGGGTCTAATCTGACTGTTGTAAAGATGAAGCATGCCAGAAGGACTTAGCGACACAATAATATTTACATTAAGATGAAACAATTAGTAATTAAAATGTCTCTCTTAATTTCAGGATGTGGAGTTATCATTCTTACACTATTTACATACCATCCTCATCTCATGTGTTTATCGATTCGAGTGACCTTCCTGAAAGTCTTAATTGAACCCTTTATTTAATTTACGAGAACAGACTGTTCTCGGTCCACTGCCCATGTTTTGGGATATCTCGTCTAGTCTTTATTTTTAGTACTGCTCACTTATTGCTTTATTTCCAGTTAGTCCAAAGATTGAACCTAAAATTAATATATAACCAAATTCAGGGATCAACGATGTAATTCACTAGGCTAATTATCCCGTGGGACAATTCTCTGTGGAGAACATGGAACCTTAAACCTAACATTCGGGACGATAAACTAGTGGATGAAAGCTCTGGTTCGTGAATTTAGTGACATAGTAATTGTGAGTTCAATCCCTGTGTCGGGCAGTGTGTACTTGGACTCAGTAGAAAGGAGACCATCAATAACACTGATTAGTACTAAAAATAAGAACTAGACGAGGTATTCCTAGAGGTAGACAGTGGAACGAGATTAATAATAGATTAAATAAAGGACGCAGTTCGGAATTTCCTGTAGGTTACCCGGATCGGTATGGACCTGATGAAGGCCGGGGCACAACGGTCGAAACATTGTGTATCAACAAACAAGACGAGAAGAGGCCACATATAAATAGTATAGATAGCAGTTTAAATGATGCGGTAACTGATATAGATTCATATAAGAAATACGGACACGATTGCATTTAATACGATGAGGCTAGTTAAATTTTAAGCATTTCACCCCAAGCAAGGTGGGAGTGCCACTAGCACACAAGGGATTACAGAGAGTGGGCGCAAGAGTAAAGAGGCGTGATAGAGGAAAGGATGAAGAGAAGGACGGGGGATAGATTGATGCATCTGGAGATGTCGATTGACATTGCATTTGAATACTTGGAGTAAGAGGAAGGAAGTTCCACAGACGGGAAGTGCAAAAGATGAAGCTATTGGAGTAGAAGAGATGGCTATATTTAACTATTTCGACAGTGAAAGAATGGATGCCAACCTAGTGGCACGTTTAAATTCATGCAGTTTGGGAACTAACGAAAGTAGCTCGTTGGAGCAGTTACCGTGAAAGTATTTGTAGAAAAGACAGAGGGAAGCGACGGCACGTCTGTGAGAGAGCGAATGTAAACGAGAGGCCAGTCACTCTATATCCTCTTTTATCAGATATATAAAAGTATATTTAAATAAATAAAAGTTTCTTTTTTTCTCTTTATCTCAGATATTGGTGAGTTTTCAACCCTTGAACCGGAAGCAGTGATAACGAAAGCTTATGATTCAGCCATTGTTGTATGCAGTAACATTGCCTACAAACCAGGTACAGCATATTTTGCGAATCTTATTGTCTGTGTATGCAAACGAAAGTTTTCCGACATTACCTTCTGGGAACTGAAGACAGTGTCCAACTCCTGTTTAAATGATCTAGAAGCATACAAATATCAATTTATATAAACTGACAGATCTTTGCTTGCAAATGCCTAAATGGTCAACTGATACATTTCTTCAACCTGACAATTTCAAAGTTCTTGTAACCGGTATAACTATTAGAGTAAACATCCATGTTTTTTTTTTTATAAGCAGTGACGTTAACATCTACCCGCGAAGATCATCAAGAGTGTGGTTAAAGAAAACAGAGGCTCATTTTATTTACATACAATCAGGACAATTAACATTATACTAAGTTAGATCACAGAATATCTTATTAAAGAAAATAGAGGTATATTTTCTTTCATAAGATTTTCAATGATCTAGGCCGGTAGATGTTACTTTCATTGTTTGTAAATAATCCGAGATATCTCGTCAAACGCGTGTACCGATTAAAATAACGTTCATAGTAATAATAATAATAATAATAATAATATATATATATATATATATATATATATATATACATTTGTTGATACCGTTTATTATAAACAGAGTATTTACTTAAATATATATATATATATATATATATATATATATTAATTTATACAAATATATTAATATATTTATATGAATAACGTTTAACAATAAAATATCTTAAAATTGTTGGAATTAGTCCCTTTTGTAGTGTGTGGCCTCATTTGTTTACGTTTAGATACGGCTCGAGCAGATATGATCGTTCGAGTTGCAGTTTAAAAGAAGTACCATCGACCTTGCTAATCAGACGCTCCTCTGTAGATAAACTGGTATAGCATGTCAGGCTATATGGCGGTTCCGTCGGAGGACGCATATATTCTATGAAAATTTCTCGGACGTTCAGGCTGGTAAATGTTGTTAATACTGTTTATTATAAACAGAGCATTTACTTAAATATTTGTATCTAAAAAAAATAATATATATATATATATATATATATATATATATATATATATATATATATATATATAATTGATAAACGTTTGCGTTAAGGGGAGAATGTAATAATATTTTCCTTCATAGAGAAAATTGGGTTTTTGATTTATTGTCTTTTTATTGTTTATCAACCGATTGCGGTTATTTAAAGTTTAAAAATATTTATGGATTCTATGAATTTGGAGGAGATAATAAGGTTTAATTGATACTAGCCCTACTTTTTAACCCACACCTGGGGGAGTAGTGGCGTATTCATTCCTTTTCCAATGGTATTTGTACATAAGTGAATATAGCGAACCCAACATGAACTGGAACTCGGCTCCCCAAATTCCAATTCCACGCCGTTATCTATTACACCACCCGCACATCTAAACTTACAGCACCTGGTATTTCCAAGTGGTCTGATTAGGTACGACATTAACTTCGATGGCCAGTGTTTCAACATGATGCGGCCGTCGGCCAGGAAAAAAGACTGAAGCCGAGAGGCCAGGTCAGAACGGATAGTGTTTAAGATTATTTTTATTTTTTTTTATTAAGAATTTCTTAACCCATAATTTCGGCGTCAAATCTTCAGTCCTCTATTAAAAGACTCTTAAACTATTAAAAATGGATTTTCAGTGTGCTACTAGATTGGCATCGAAGTCCTAGGCGTTTACTGTTTAAATAGTTAAATGCAACCGCTACTTACATTCCAACAGTTCATTTTCTCGCACTTCCGATCTGTGCAAGTCCCTTCCCTTAAGCTTTTACTGATACTAGCCTTACTTTTTAACCCACACCTGGGAGAATAGTGGTGTATTCCTACCATTTCCAATAGTATTTGTACAGAAGTGAATATAACGAACCCAAAGCGAATTGGAACTCGACTCTCCAATTTCCAATTCCGCGCCAGTATTCGTTTAAACCACCTGCATATCCAAGCTTACAGCATCTGGTATTCCTAATTGGTCACCAAGCTCGACGTTGCTTAACTTCTATGATCGGACAATGACTTGTGTTTCAACATGATGTGGCCGTCAGATCGGAAAAGAGACTGAAGCCGAGATGCCCGAAAATTTAGTCCTCTGTTAAAAC